TGCAGAGTCCTTCAAAGGGGTAACTTTGTATGTGATAGCCATGTCTTATATTTCCAATAGGAAAAATATATATTTCAGGATTGGGTAGTGCAGCTAAAATACCATATATTACTGGTGTACTATTGCTGTCAAATAAGAAAGTTTGGTTGTGAAAAATAAGGTAAAATGAAGCTCATGTAGTGTTATCCAGTCTATAGCCAGTTAATTGATTTGCCTGTGTTTTTTATTTTAGCAAACAGTGTCTCAATAATTTAGTGATTCATCTGCAATGTAACAATAAACGTAAGTAAATATGAAATAATTTAACTTTCAAAATCAGATTATTCCAGTCCAGAAAATCCATGTATACATGGTTTCAGTGATTTTAGTGGCAAAGTATAAGAGGTACTTGAACATTAATTAAAAACAGGAATATTTTGTGTTCCTTGAAATTACAGTAAAGATCAGTCTAAGCCCAAAACAATTATTCAAGATCTCCCATATATAAAGGATGATTTGTTCTAATCCCAGTTTTTAAACGGACATCTTGGACTCATCTTTAAAAAATGATCAACTCATTTCAGATTCCCCCCACCTCCCCTTCTTTTTTTTCTTTTTTTTATGCTTTGTACTTTTAGCATGTGGAAAACCACTGATAACTCAGAAGAAAAGTGCAAGGATTGTAGGAGGAAATGATGCCAACATAGGCGCTTGGCCTTGGATAGTCTCACTACATTATAATAACAGACATTTGTGTGGAGCTTCCCTTGTCAGTGATGAATGGCTGGTCTCGGCAGCACACTGTGTATATGGGTAATGTTTACTTTGTCCTTGAGTTAATACATCAATCGTAATGACCCCTCCTCACAGCAGATGCAAATACCCCGACAGAACATGGTTTGCACAGAGCAATTCTTGTACTTATGTAGATTCCAACTGCAGAAAGGGGGCCTATGTCTGGATTTTTAATACTACACAATTTTTTTACAGCTGCTAAGTAAATTTTCATGCTTAAATTATTTTGTTTTTTTTAACCACTGTTATTGTTTATGCATTTCCAAACTTGAAAATGAATTATTTAATGGTTTAATAGACCCATCAGATAAATTATTCAGATCAAGTTCTTGAAAATCCTATGAAATAATAAAGTTGGAATGCCATTAGTGGAAAGTAACTGGAATAAAAAGCACAAATGTGTAACGGATTCTTGACATTTCTGGACAGGTGGGTAGCCATGTTAGTCTGAAGTCATGCAGAACATAGGGCAAGGTAGCACTTTAGAGACTAAAAGGTTCATAGAGGCATGAGCTTTTGTAGGCAACACTCTACTTGTTCAGATGCTTAGCCTCTAAGGGCTTTTTTACACATGCTGTGGGAGCTGGGAGGGGGAGTGGAGCTTCAATTAGAGTAGCTTCAAGAACTGGTCTAATTAAAGCATTGCTGCATCTCATGTATCAGTGTTCCCGTGCTTTAAAATGGCAGTGGGGGTGCTTGAACTAAAGCTTGTTTGACAAGCTTTAGTTCTATAGTTCTAGCACCCCTGCCACCATTTTTAAGTGTGAGGATGTTGATACATGAGATGCAGGAGGCTGTTGGAGCATGGCAATTGCCAGCACATTGGAGCAGCCTCCATGCTCATGTATAGGTGCCGTAAGATGCCACTCTGCCTTACCTTTTGCTTGACATTTCTGTAGCTTTTTCAAACATTTCTCTTGTTCTTTTCCTTCTTCCCCATTTAAAGTTAATATTGTGATGATCTCGTGTACAGCCAAGTCATGGTTTTGTTCCAATTTTTACATCAGAAACTCTATAGCAATATGAGGATAACATGAAGTCAGTGATATGAACACCTGAGAACCCAGATCATCATTTAATTATGATCTGCATTGTTATTAGGCAGTGGAGACAGGCTTGTGGTTCTTTCACTTGTTCATAGCCACATTTCTTGAGCTATAAGAATATATATACATTTTTATACAGGAATATATAAAAAAAATATGTTTAAAAAAATGGAAGGCCATGTGTGTTTAAATATATGAAATTGACACTGAAATATTTATAATTAATCTATAATTAAGGGGGTGCTTTCTTTACACACTTCCAATTTAACTTGTTGTGTAAGGAATGTTGTTATATCTTATCAAGGTAGATTCCATGTTGTCTGAAACATGATTGATCTGTACTGCTGCATAGATCAGCTCAGAACAGGGTCTCCCAGTATGAATAGCTATTCATTCTTAGTGGTAGAGACTTCTCAGAAATGTCCTCTGCTAGAAGTCTTTCTAGAAGAGGGAACAGTACAGACATTCAGGCTGCAGCTGCCCCGTCTCCCCTGCTCTCAACCTCTTTCCCAGACTGAGGAGTGGCTTCTCTAATCCTCCCATTCCTGGAAAGGGGGAAGTGGAGCAGCAGGGATAGACTCCCTAGCTGCATCCAGACAAGGATGGCTGTGCAGTATGTGGTGCCACAAACACATCTGCAGCACCACACACTGCACACTCAGATGTTCTCCATGCTGCAAAGGAGCACTGCAAAGGAGCACTACCCATGCATACACAGCTCAGCTTTTTTTTTTCCACAGGTATTTTTGACCCCTGGATATCCAGAGGTCAAAAAATCCTGCAGAAAAAAAAGCAGAGCTGTACATCCATGGGCAGCGCATGCCTCTCAAAAGTGGAGCTGGGCCACCCAAAGTCACTCTGTGGCTGCCAGTCAGGCTCCGTGTGGCAGAATTGCTACTGCTGCAGCTCTGGGAGGCCCCCAGGCCCCCAGGTAAGGCTGCTGGAGCCAGCCCAGGGCTGGCCCCAGCCTTCCCTACCCCACCCGAGGTAACTTGCTGTGCACCAAAGCACACATGGCATGGGTGTTCCCTGGGGACGAGTAGCAGCAGTTCAAAGTGCACCACTGCTACTTGTCCCCAGGGAACCAAACACTCACACCATTTGTGGACTCAGGCCCTGTGTTTCCCCAGACTGGAGACATCCTACCTCTCTACTCTCCTCCCATAGACTGAATCATGAGCAGAGTGGGCCAGTGGGACAAAGCCCCCAACCCATTCCTCAGACTGGGGAGTCCCCAGTCTGGGAAAGAGGTGGGGAGTAGCAGGTAACTCCTCTGCTCTCTTCTCAGCCCAGACTTGGAGGCAACTGGAGGAGAGCAGTGCCCCCATACCTTCTCCAGACCACCCGTCTGCCCCCAAAGAAATTGAGCAGACTCCAAGTATTCAGTCACACAAAGGAAACTCTCTCACAGGTACCTTCTCACTGGAAGATCTTCCTCCTGGAGGGGGCATGTTTCCTCAAAGTAAATATTCAAGATAGATATCTAAGAGATATATAAAATAAACATTAAAAAAATCTGATTCTAAAAAGAATATAGAAGTTACTTGAGTATATGTAATTATCAAGCACTTCAGACTGCCATGGGAAAAGAAAAGCTATACATTCAATTTTTTACCCTGCCACTCCCCACCCCGCAACATTAGAGAGGATGGATATTAAAGGAGCATTTTGTTACATGGGAAAACAATGTAGTCCTTATTTTGGGATCAACAGAGGTGAACAGCTTTTCCTTCTGTGCAAGTTTTTTTAAACTCCCTTTTCCTTCTGTGTTCCTGGCCAGCATGGCATTAACTGCCCTATGGTACCCAGACACTCCAAATCCAGAGAACCTGAATGCAGTCCTGATAGCATATTATATATGCCTCAGTCTTGGGATTGAAGGATATGTAGGTTGGCTTAAGCTCCTCTTCCTGTATTTTCCAGATTTAATAGTAATAGATTTAACAGTAACTGAATGGCAGAACATCAAATGGGAGTGGGGTGAGCTGGGTAGGACCCAAGGCAGACTCAGAACACCTGATTATTCTGTCCTATCCCCTGAGGCCTGAGTGGAGGGTGAAGCAGAACAAGGAAGCCTTTCCAAAGACTCTGAAAAATCAAGGCAATTGGGAGTAATTGAATGAACACTTGTAAATTCCTAATTTCAACCTGGAAGACAGCAATTCTCCTGACAGAAATATAATACCTGCATGTCACCTGTCTTTCGCTATGTTAAAAGAATGTCAGAAGGTGAAGCATGGTTTAAAATGCTATTCTACAATATGTTATTTTTACATCTATAATAAGAGTTAAGGATGGGGGTACCCTGAATAGGAAAACCACAGTAGATCTACCATTATATATAACTGGGTAGTAATAATAATAATAATAATACAAGGTGATTCTTCTTTAATTCTTGCTTAGGTAAGAACCTAATTATCTTCAGAGTTTCTCAAATAAAGTTTTACTGTATTTCATTGACTTCACTGGGAGTATTTAATAAATAAAGGCTGCAGGATTAAACTCTTAGCTCTGAGCATTAAAGTAAAATGTAATTTAAATTGAAAAATCAGCAAAAATCTGTTCAGATGTTCCAAACTGACCACACTAAAAGCATATTTATAATTTTTGGAAACAAACTCATATAAAGGGCACTTAAAACAAATCCAAATGCATAGCAGTCTCTAAATTAGATATGATGTATACAGCTCAGCAATAAATGAACATGTCAAATTTTTATCACTTAAATATTGTGTTTCTGTTGCATTCTAGTGGCTTTGTTTTTTGCTTTTATACAACTTATTTTTTGCCAGTTATAGGTGAAAAGACAAACTCATTTGTGTAACCTGGCAATGCTCAATATTCATAGTTACATTATACCACCATATTTACTCAAATCTAAGATGACCTTGAATTTAAGATGACCCAAATAATTATTTATAAATTTAGAACTGAAACATTAGTTATAAATATTTATAAATTTATTATCATTTTACATGTATAGAATCTAATTTTTGGAGGGCCCTCCCCTCCTGCCCCCTAGCCTTTGCTCCAGCCACTCTACCCCAGTCTCTACTGTCCCCCTCCTTCATGCCATCTCTACACCTGCAGCCTGTCTCCCCCTGCAGCCTGTGTTTTACAGAGCTGGTATAGACATGCTCTTATGGTACTGACACACATACGGAAAAGACGTGCACACACCAACCTCATCTTAGTATGCAGTAAATATGGTAAATTTCTATGGGGATGAAAAGGAGATTATGGATTTAACGGGGATTTTTAATTTATATGATTAAAAAATAGTAATACTTGAGCTGGAGTGTATCAATAATTGTGCCATTATCCAAGTTGTTAAGTGTAAATAATGTACAATTACCTTCATAGCAAAAATGTATCAAAAAGCCAGTAGTAATAAACTTTACATCAACAGTGCAATCAGAAACCTGTAAGCACTGTCAAATTACAGGATACTATTTCAGGTAATGTGACACAATGCACTATTTATAAATATAAATAGAGAGAGAGCAGTTTGTGTGTGTATGTGTGTGTATTTACATACACACAGTCACAAGTTTAAAAGTTAACATATTTAATAGGACATTTTTCAAGATCTTCATTGTTTATAAATAATTGTGAATATTCATTTTATTGTCTAGGAGGAATTTAATACCATCTAAATGGAATGCTGCACTTGGTTTGCATACTGTTTTGAATCTGACATATCCACAGACAGTAATTCAAGTGATTGATCAAATTATCATAAACCCCCATTATGATAAGCGCACAAAAAACAATGACATTGCTCTGATGCATCTTCAATACAAAGTAAATTTTACAGGTAAGGTATTTTCTTATATGATACTTTTAATCTGCATAATTTAAACTGATCCAGCTCTAATCATCCTGATTTTATTTGGATATTACAGGATTATGGAATACATGTACTAGTTTATACAAGCCAAAGATTCTTTGTAGACACAGTCCTACACTATTTGGGAGCCTAGCCTAAATAAGGAAAGGAGTAATTGGATTGATGTGCATTTTGCTTAGTGATATAAAAAAAACCCAGAATACTAGAAGCAAGCAAAACTGATTCATTTTCTTTCACAGATTACATACAGCCTATTTGCTTACCAGAAAAGAGTAAGGATTTTTTGCCAGGAATTAATTGCTCTATTGCTGGATGGGGTAAAACTACAAATGAAGGTGAGTCATCACATTTTGAAAACTATTATACTACACAAATTAATGTGGCAGATTCTGGTCTTGATTTCAAAAGAGCTGTTTTTATTTTAAGATTTGAAATGATTGTTATGATCATCTGTTTGTGCCGAGAGGGGAACTGAGGTGAGAGATGTAGTGATGTGTTCAATATCACCCAGTAGGCTAGTGGAAAAGAGTAAGGAGTTCTATGTAAGGGAATAATATTCTATTGGCGTGTCTACATGAGATACATTAGTGTGCACTATCCTAATGTAATGAGCATTACAGGTGCCCATCTACACGTTCATGCCCTTAATGTGCATTAAAAATGGCAAAATTAGGCTAATTGCAGAATCAAATTCAGGCGTGATTAGTTAAAGCACATTAATGTATGTGTAGACATGACCCAGCACTAACTTAGTGCCAGGTCTGACCTGCCACTAGGGAAACATGGCAGGGCTGCAGGGATTGGCACTAACTTTAGTGCCAAGTCTCTGCATGTGTAGACACCTGCTAAAAATCACTTAATGCACATTAGCTGAATGTGCATTAAATTTAGTTGTCTTTAAATGCATGTGTAAACACTCCCTTTATGTCTATTACTTGTCAGCATATTACTGAAAGGCACAAAGATGTGCATCTCAGATCCAGATTTCGAACACTAATCTCAAGGAGAATTCAGATGGAAGGATTTGTTTTCAGCTTATCTCTAAGAGGAAGCCATTCTCATTATTAGCTAATCCAAAATTTTAGTTTGAATGAGCACCTAGTTTTTCATATGTTGTACTATGATCATGTAGAAGTAGAAACCAGAAAAGAGGATGTAATGTTCTGAAAGACTACAGGGAAAGGGAACTGTTTATCATACCCTGTTTCAAACTTAAAAACTGAAATTCAGGTTTGCTTTTAACATTTCTGAACTAGGAATGGGTGCTCTTTATGCAATGTCAATCTCCATTGCACCAAACAATGTCAATGGAAAGGAAATGTTATGCACACATTTTCTGTGGCAAATATTTTAAAATCTCTCAAATATTTTTTTCTAATAGACTGAAAGCAAATATCATGCACAGAAATTTTTATGCCAGATTTCAGTCTGCATCTGACTTTTAGGGCATCATCACAGCTTGTTGCCATCCTTGGGAGTGCCTACATGAAACAGGCCACAGTTTTTATCACTTGTAGAGATATCCTAAGAGTATGCCTTGCACAGCTCATAGGTTCTCTTTCAGGCACATTTGTTGGTGCTTACTCTCTCAGAGTTTCTCCAAGGCAGCTACATTGCCTAACTGCGGGAACACAGTATACTGCATGCAGTGCAGGATCAAATGAGGTAGAATATGAGGTGAGGTATGTTTCACTGAGACAGTGTAGACATGCCCTTATGATCCTGAGACGCACGCATGGAGAAACTGGGATGGGGGAGATTTGATAACAGCCTTCAAATGCCTGCAGGGCACTTATAGAAAGGATGGAGATAAGACTGTTCTTTGTGGCTCTTGGAAACAGGACAAGGAGCAATGGCCTTAAATTTAGGTTGGAGATTAGGAGGAACTTTGTAACTATGTGGATGGTCAAGCATTGGAACAGGTTACCTAGAGAAGTCATGCAATCTCCATCCCTGAAAATTTTCAAGAACAAGTTATACAAATACTTCATGGCTTACGGATGATCTTTACTTGAGCAGGATGCTGGATTAGATGACCTTTTAAAGTCACTTCCATTCTACTTTCCTATGATCTGCCCCTATGATCTTATACACAATGAAATTTTGCCACTTAAAAAATGAGCAGACCCTTTATTGCATTTGCACTGTACTGCCAATTCCACTGTTTGTTGATTATTACTACAGACAAGGCCAAATTTTGCTCTGGGGCCTAGAATTTTGCACTGAGACATAGATGAGGCTATACAGAGAAGTTAATGGAAGCACATGGTTTGTGAAGTATTTACTATTAGCAGTGAAGCTTATGCAAGAAAGACACTAGTTCATTTACTGGAGCTTAGGCAGTTTTCAAGGCTGGGAATTTGCATTTTGATTTGTAAAGCAAATATCAATCTGGAGTCACTGGGCACCTCTACACAAGACGCTTACTGTGTAGTAGACTAATTAACTGCATAGTAAATGTCTGTGCATCTACACATGAGCCCTTATTAGTTTGGAGTAAACTAATTTACTCCGCAGCAGGAGTAATAAACTCTGCACCAGTGCACGTGACCTCCCCAGGCTCCCTGCCAGCCAGGGCTGCTCTGGCTCAGCTCAACATGCTGTCATCCCAGGCACACATGCAGACACACACTTGGGAGCAATAAACTTTGGAGCAATAAGCTCCAGAGTTTATTGCATTGCATTAATACATACATGTAGACGTGTCCAGTGAGAAATGTGCAGATGTTCAACTCCACTTTTGCTGAGCTATACACAAAATCATAAGGTTTGAACATACAATAAGGTTTTTAACTGACCCGTCAAAAGTCACATACAGTAAAATCCCTGTTATCTGGCACAAATAGGGAATGGGGGTGGTGCTGGTTACCTGAGGGTTTCTGGCCGGATGTAAAGCGGGGGGAGAGGGGTAGCAAGAGCTGCATGGGGGATGGGGGGGAGTGGCTGGAGCCACTGCCTGGGGATACAGGGCTCCTGGCTCTGACCCCAGGTGGGGTGAGAGGTGCTGGTGCCAGGATCGGGTCCCCCCCTTTAAATCCATCTGCGTGCCACTCCCCGCCTCCCCCCAAATACCAGGGCAGCCCAGCCACAGGCTGCTGCAGCAGGGTGGGAGGGATGCACACACAGCCAGGGAAGAAAGTGGCACAGCAGGCTGGAAAGTGGTGGGGTGTGGTGCCATGTGCATCCCACTGCTGAAATTCTGTTTAACAGAGTATTCTGGTTAATAAAATCCCGGATAACAGGGATTTTACTGTAATATACTCCAAGCAACAGGGTCCAAGCCAATTTTTACTAGCTATGAGATCAACACAAAAAATAGTAATTTATCTTAATGATTTTCATTAATGTTTCAGAAAACTCATTTTGTAGTTAGCTCTATTATAGAAACACAAAGTGTCATTACAGCTGCTACTCCAGTTTTATAGCAGAGTTGAACAGGAAAAGTATCTTAATGGACGTAATGCAAGGATGGGACTCAGAAAGCTTGCACTAAATTCTTAGCTCAGCTCACCTGCATCCACAATCATGGACCCACATGATCTACTCATGCCTGACTTCCCTCTGTAAAAATGGGAATAATAATTCCCTACCTCAGAGAGCAGAAAAATCCATTAATGATACCATAGTGACAAGGATCTTATAAGATCCTAAATAAATTTCAGTGGAGTTATACCAAAATAAATTGGAATAACATGGAGGTGAATCAGATCCTCTGTGGTGCTTGTAAGAAGAGTAAAATCCTGGAATTAGTGCCTGTGTCTACATGAGACATCAACTGTGCAGTGGCCCATGACTACTGCACAGTAGTGTCACATAGCAGAAAGCATGATGTGACACTACTGCACAGTTTATCTCAGGCTACCGCGCAGTCAGGGTCATGAAAAAGCCATTTGCTGATGCTACTACTCAGTAACTCTGCAGTGTTATTACTGCACACTTGTTTATACAAGTATTAAATGACTGTGCAGTAACAACTGTGCAGTCAGCATCTTGTGCAGACACAGCCAGTAAGAATGATGATTACTGAGTATACTATACATTTTGAGCAGGTATGCTTTTTATTTTGAATAAGGTGCCCCTGCAAGCATATTGCAAGAAACGGAGGTGCCTCTAATAACAAATGAGAAATGCCAACAACAGATGCCAGAATATAATATCACTGGACATATGATGTGTGCAGGTTATGACAAAGGAGGAATAGATTCCTGTCAGGTAAATAACAACAATACATGTTCATTACTAATGTAACTCTGCTTCTAATTGCTAAATAACTCACAATCTTGTCTTGTACTCATTAAAACCTTACCAGTCACTGTCTGTGAATGTAATTTCTTCTCACAGAGGGTCACCTATTTCATAATGTATCAAGATATATGTTTTAAACCTGGCAATCTATTTTGGACCCTCCTCCCATGAAAAAGAATAGAAAGGATGGGGGGGAAACATCAGATTGGATGAAAAGGCTGGAAATGCTATGTATTGAAGTACTTAGGTTTTGAGTGACCATCTCACAAAGAAAAAGTGCATGGTTCTGGAAATGAAGCATGCAGAGCTTAAATGCCAAGCTGATATGTCTGCAAGAAATCTCTTATGAGGAAAATTACAAAAGCGATTGAGGCATACTCCCTTCTAACAGCACTCTCCCATCTCCTAGCAGGAAAGACTGGTATAAAACCCTGAAGGCAGCAAAGAGTATTAAACAAGGGTATCCTCCAAAATGGTGGCAGGGTTGCTTTATCTAAAACCCATTCAATGAACATTAGATAAAGCATCCCCACCACCATTTGGAAGCACAGGGATGCTGATACGTGAGGCACTTCAGGCATCTGGCTCTCAGAGCTGCTTTTATTAGAATGTGCCCCCCAACTCCTGGAGCACATGTATAAATACACCAGGAGTTTAGGATCACGCACATTTAAAACACAAAAAACAATAAAGAGGTTGTTTTCCTTCAAGTATGTCTTCATGTGTGTCCTATTTCTCGTGCATGAGAATAAGCTGTGGCATTCACAAAGACAAAACTTTGTGAAGAATGAAAATGATCTTAAGGATGGTAATTTTTTATTTTTGTAACCCTTAATTTTAATATTTCAGGGAGATTCAGGTGGACCCCTGATGTGTGAAGACAATGGCAGATGGTTTTTGGCAGGTGTAGTATCCTTTGGCTATAAGTGTGCACTGCCCCATCGTCCTGGGGTGTATGTTAGAGTCACAGAATTTGTGGACTGGATTAAAAAAATTATTCATTAGCTTGATTTAAAAATAAAAGTTTCAAGGTAAATGTGGAGGAAAGAAGCATATGCAACAATGTATACCAATGTAGCATTCAACCAATAAAAAAACCAAATGAAAACTTGTCTAAACATAAATTTGCAGTAGAAAAAGTTGAATATCAAGAACTCCCATCATTAATAAAAAGCATTTCAAAGCAGCACTTTTATCAGTGATTCTTAGCATTTTACATAGATTGTTATATAATACCTGATTTTACTGTGTCAACATTATTCATTAATAACTTGAAAAAATAGCCATGCCTGATGCACTAAGAAAGCTTGTATAACAAAGTTCTGGAAGCAATACAAAAAATAAATTCCAGGCCAAATATGTTTGCAGTTTTTATGCTCTCCTTCCCAATGGGCATTCTCATTTCAAAGCATAGTGAATTCTGCTGAACACTTCCCACACATCAAAATGAGTTTCTACACTTGCTGTTTAATCTGAGATCATGGCAGATTTCATATCTCAACTATTACAAAAAGCTTTGAAATGAATTTTATATGTAGATGGTGTGTAAATCAGTCTGTTTGCTTTATAATGGATAAACTGATCCTCGGCCAAAAATTATCCTGAGTGTAACAATTCTGGAATGAATGCTGTAAAACAAAGGGTGAATGTTGTGCCTTATACTTTCTTTTTTGGCAAACATCCTGGTAATTACTACTGAACAAACTTCAGATATGTGCCTGTGTGCAGGCATATGCATACACACAAAATTAAAAGCTTTTTTTTCATAAAGTTTAATGTTCTAAAAGCATCTAATGAACGTCAGCCAATTATGCAAGTTGAAAAAGAATGAAGCAAATTGCTTCCTTGGTATATGAGCTGATTTAGGTCATCACCCTAGTCGTTTTAAAGCATTTTTCTGTTATATCAGTTAGGGTGAACAGCCTATTAGATTTCAAATGAGGGAAGTATTAATGTGCTTCACAGTTCTAATTTCTTGGGTTCTTCTCCAGATATTGTTTACTTTAAATGTCAATAGAAGTCTCCATTTGTTAATCATTTTATGTATGTTTTTTCAAACAAAATAACTCTAGTGTGATATGGTATATTTGTTTCTGATTGTTGGTTGTTATAAATTAATTCAACTCTAATTAATTCATGAAGCCACATAAAAGTTCAAAATATTATTAATTTTTTATATAGGACTTCGCACTGATGCTTATGCAACTGAGTGTTCCTGCATAACTGAGCCATAATTGTGTATAATGGCTTCTGAATAAGAGGCTTATTGCTGTTAATATGATATATGAACAAGAGTCAAAGATTTGACAAAGTCTTTTTTTTTTTTTGCTTCAGCAGCCAAAGTAAAAATTACAATGATGATATTCGGTGTCAACCACAATTGAAATATTTCAGCGTTTTCAGTTATTAAGAAAAGACGCTTTAGCTTAAATTAAATGTTTTGTTTGCCACAAAATGAAGTGGATTTTTTTTTTCTTGGATGAAGTGTTTTCTTTCTTGGAATTGTTGATAAAAGCAAAGGACTAGCTTCACAAGGGGACTTATGCACCATTTATAAAAAACAGCAAGAGGAGGAGGAGTGGATCTATACATGTAGCCAAGAAGTTAGAACATTTGTGTGGGGGACAGGCTATGTGGGTTTGTATCCTTCTTCTGCCTGGTTTAAACCTGTAACAGAACAGATGTTCAGTGCACATAAACCAGTCTGAAAATGGCTGAAACCTATTTGAGATAAACCTGGTTGAATGTAGTATGACTGATTTGGGTCAAACTGGTTTATGCAACATCTGTCCCAGACCCCTTGCTGGTTTAAGATAAACCAGGCTCCCCCAGCATCCTGGCATGCTCTCTTAGCTGGGTGGGGCTCTCTGGTCCACAGCAGGGCCTGGCCCCTCCCCTTTCCTCCCTGGCTGCAGCTCCCGTGAGACAGCATGGTGCTCAGCCCCTCCCCCTCACCACTCCCTGCTAAACAGGAATTCTGCCCTCCCCTCTGCCTTGCTGAGGAGATGTCTGTGTATCTAGTAGACCACATGCTGGCTAGGTCTCTGCTGAATCAACAGCAGAATCAACAGATAGCTGATAATGTCCCTTTGTTGTTTTCTTAATTGGGTGATAAACACTTTGTTAGAGGATGATAAATATTGTTATCAATTCCTTGCTAGGCTAATCAAAGCATCCTGCCAGGGTCTGTCCATGCCCCCTTCTCTGCCTCATCTAGGTCAGTGCTATGAAAGAGATGGGAGGGCTGCTCTAGTGCCCCCCGCCAGCTTCAGGCCTGAGCCACTGTAGACATGTGCCTGCATTTCTGGGATGTCTGTCTGATTACAAAACTGATTTAGCCTAGCCAGGTTAGACTAACCTGCAAAGATTGAATCATTTCAGGCTCAGGCTTTTTGAATGTCTGCCCCTAGCCTAACAGTCTGGGGGTTATCACAGTTTCTTCTGGAAGCAGTTTTATTGTGTATGGACTGATTGAATATTCATTGATCTAGAAAGGCAAGCACAATTACCTTATAGCCTGCAAGTTAGACTTAATACTTGGGAGGAGGGATACATATATCCCAGTCTCTGCTTTAATGAATATTTAATTATTTTATACACACAGCTTCACTGGGAGAAAGTGAAAGACACCTATCTGAATTTACAGCCCCTTCCATACCACTAGGTGGGTACTTTTTCCTGAGTTGAACCTACCCTAGATTGCTACTATCCAAGTTTGTACTTCATTCAGGTGATAGAAGAGCACAGCCCATCATAATACCTGTCTTTGAGAAGGTGGAGATGGATATCTTATGTTTCATTTGTATATTTATTACACTTCAGCACAGGTCAGAGTGTCTTTTTGTCTCTCTGAGTGGCCCTACTTGCACAGTGAGCAGGAGTGTGACTAGGTGGAATACTCTGGAACCTGTTGTAGAAGGACTACAGGGTGAACAGAGTAAATATTAATTTTTAGGCTTTTCAGTCTTTAAAGAAAGAACAAAGGGCAGAGGGATGGCATTTCATCCATTTATTTAAAGTTCTTCTGACAAGTCAACAAATAGTTTAGTCCAGGTCATTAAAATAATTTTGATGCAGTCAAAAGAAATGAGTTAGCTATGTTTAAAAAAATCTTATCTGTGCTTAATCCATGTCTATGAAGAGCCTGATGGGAGGAAATTCTGTGCTTAAAATGAGAATATAGTTAATCCCAAAATCAGTTTCTCAATAGTTTTACCTAAACATTCTGTGTTAAAGGGTAGGAAATGAGAGAGGTAGGCAAGGTTCTTCGGGTAGATGTGATACCTTTTATTAGGCCAACTAAATAGTTGGAAAAAAATGTTATTTGCAAGCTTTCAGGCATAAACACCTTTCTTCAGGCATAGGGAGATGTTGCTGGTTTTATGCTGATAATGAGAGAGCTTTTTTTTAAGAAGCAAGCTAACCAGCACTCTGCCATCCCAAAAGGAATGGTCTCTTGGTCTTCACAGACATGAAAGCAAAATTGTCTAGGTCAGACTAAGTAGTTCATCAACCCATCTGTTGCCACAAGAAGAAAAACAAGATAGAACCAAGTGAGAGGATAATTACTGTTCTTGTAGGCTCTTGCTTTTATACTATACTGACTGCCTGGTGCCAATCAATTCAGCTTGACGTGGGACCTCTGAAGAAAGGCCTAATGGATGCAAACTATACTCATGCTGACCAAGGAGTAGCAACTGTTTCTCTCCCCCTCTATATGTTTTCCCAAATCTTAAGAAATAATCTGCACAGTATGGGAGAAAGCTGTGTGCAGCCTGTTACTGGCTAGACTATTGGAAGACTGTAGCACTATTTTGCCATTCTGCAGAGATGCAACTTTCCATAGCATGGGACAAATCTACTGTGACCACTTAATGAAAAGCCAAGCAGTATCTTCTCCAAAGTATCACACATAAGATATTTACATTCATAGGTATAGCACCACTATATATGTAACCCTTCTGCCAGGCACTAGTCAGCAGCAAAAAGCATCAGGTTCACATTATGGGGTACCCCATAAATTTATACCAGTGGCTTGAGCCCCCAACCAGAAATCTGGGAGCACTCAATTTGCTGGGGTATCCCATATAAACAAAACCCCCTCCCCACAAGCAGTATAAGCACAAAAACCCAAACTTATTGTGGAGAATAAAAAAAACCAAAAAAAGAAAACACTAAATATAATTTTAAAACACTAATACCTACAAATCAAAGTCTATAGGTAGCACCCTCTTGAAGGAGGCTCCACTCATACCCAAGCAGTCTGGGACTTGGGGCTCCCTGATGGGTAGTTCTGGAGCCTGCACCCCTATACCTGCCAGTTCAGCAATGGGCCGAAGACTGGGGCCACACTGGAGAGTCCTGAGCTGCTCCTCGTGTTCACTACATCATGGGGAGGTGCTCGAGAGCATGGGTCCTTCTACATTGCAAGAGGCTCCGTTGCTTTTGGAGACAGTATAGAGTACTAACCTCCACTTCTGCATGATGGCGTTGAGGGGTTATCTGCAGCTTTTGTCAGTGTGCCCCTCCCTACCCCCCTCCCCACCATGGAGGGCAAAAACCCATATTATCCAAATATCATCATGGAGACTACTGTCAGTAACATTCCAGTGTCAGTAACATTTTTTTCTGTCACTAACTTCCCAGGGCATTGCATTTTATTCATGTACTGCCAAGATATAGGGGCCTTATTACATGGTAATTTTGAGTGGTTCCTGGAGTTCTTAACACCTGGATTGTCTGCACATTAACACCTTTAAGTGGTTTTAAGCACTCATTATGTGGCAAAATTATCTCGAAGGCAGGATTCTCTTTGATTCACACAACCCACACTTCCTTAAAGTGTGGCCACTCCCCACAGATGTGCTGCCCAAGTTGAAGTCTTCCAGTATCCCATGATCTCTAACATCTGTAGAGAAAAGATAGAAGCCTGTTCTGGTTCAGTTGCCCACTTATGGCAACTCACAACTACAGCTCCTAGTCCTGCCCCTGCTCAGCAGCCCTCTAATGGCATGTCACAGCTGTGCATGTGGGGGGCAGCTGGAGAAGGTTTCTAGACTAAGGGTATGACTGTTCCAAACTCTGAGTTAGCACAAACACTGATCAACATCTGTGCAGCTCACAGTATAAGGTATGACAATGCTGTAAGTTTGCTTTACAAACCAGCACCATTTCCTTTCCACTAGGGTTCAGCACTCTCAATGTCAGTAGGGGAAAAATCATTACAGTCTTGGTAGTCACAGGACTGTGGTATTTTTTCTTAAATAAGGGAAGTGAGCTAAGGAATGGTAGAGAATAAGTAGGGAAGACCATTTGAGAAATGCCAAGATGATATAAATGGGAAAGGAAACAATTGTTTGGGGGTGAGAGTCAAGTCATTTTCAAGAAAAGTGAATGAGCAAAACCTATGGCATAATCCTGATGTTGAGTTTTTGAATGTTTGCAATAATATTTTAGCAATAGTGTTGTGTTGCTAGGTTATTGTGTGTTATGGGTTTAATATTTTCCTTTTCTATTAAAGCAACAG